GTTCAATTCACCCATTACATTGTTGCTGTCACGCCTTGACCATCTTATATATAAAAGATACCGAAATCTAGTAAACGCTAGAGCATTCAGGAAGGGACAGGATCCTTCTAGAAGTTCGTGACGTGTTACTAGCGTCACGTGACTTCCGCTGTCGTAACAATACGAAATCATCAATGTACAGCTTTGATGTCATTACATGTTTTCGCAAATTCCCAGTCATGAAGCGATAAAATTAACAACAGGTATAATTTCACAAGACCCTAATAAAAGAATCTGATAGACAATCAGAAATGTGAATTCAACTTATTCAGCTTTCAACAACGGCATGCTTCCTGTTATGAAGTTAGGTATAATAAACATTTGTCGGAGTTGAGAAAGGTAGAAATCAGCCTGTGTTTAATCAATTCCTAAGGGAGAATTAATGCTAGTATGGATGAGAATTGGAAATCACTGACAAAAGTCAGTTTGTAAATAAATGTAGACAACTGTGTATAACATGTAGTAGCAATTGAAAAAAAAGAGATACATGAAGTTTTAATTGAGGCAGGAATCACAACAAACGATTTTGCTATCCATGGGCTTAGTGAAAATACAGGAACTGCGAGTGCTGTTCCCGAAGGTCATCATGGTGGGTAAAGGATTGATTGCATTTGTAGAGGTAAAAACTATTAGAGAGTAGGAGAAACCTGCGATAAAGGAAGAAGTTAGAGTATTACAGGAAGTTTATTCCCATGTTTGCTCCACTTACAGCTTTAACCTATTTATCAGGACCAAAATATGGTGTGGCGTGAAGCTAGTGAGGAGGCTTTTAGGAAACTAAAAGAAGCGCTATGTAAAATACAATATGTAATTATAAGGAAATGTTAGCTACCATTGTGCAAACTAATGCATCTGATACAGCTATGTGGGTAGTACTTAGTCAAATAGGTGAGGATGGCATGGAATATCCGTGGCTTATTTAAGTCGAAGATTACTTGCACATGAGAAAGCTCTAACCAATATTGAAAATGAGGGGGTTGACAAATTAAGACCCTTTCTATTACGTAAAGCATTTGTCGCGGAAACGAATCAGGACCCATTTAATATAGTTACACGGGGAGAAGAATGAAAACAGAAATTGTTGCGAAGAAGTCTGTTACTAAGGGAGTTTAAGTTTACAATTTGGTAAAGATCATCGATTGATCATCGAAATGCAGACGCCCTCTCCCGCTTAAGTTATTAAAATTAGCCTGTAACCTCGCTCTGATTAAGGCGTGTGTATATTGTATATAGTTACGGACGTAAGATCTATCCAGCTATGGTTAAAACTGGTATTATTTGTGAAAGTCTGGTTATGTAAATGAATGGAAGAATAAAAATTCGTGAACCTACTGGTTCAACTCCTGAACAATAAAGATTGAATGGCGAAGTTAGAGGGCGGTGAGACAATCTAAACAAGAGTGTGATATGCCAAAATTTCCAATAGCAGAGATTGAATACAGTCAACATTATTGAGTGTCTTCAGGAAAAGGGGAGATATGTGCTTTAAAGTTTGGTGTACATGACATTGGTTAGAGCTAAGAGAGATGAGAAAACAGTTGACTTTTGGTCAGTCCCTAAACGAATAAGGGAATTACAGTACTCTAAATCATTAGAAAATGCGTAGAGTGAGTGCTACCTTTCTTGTCTAGCTGTTGTGATTATGAGACATGATAATCCAAACAGAGGTGCAAGGTCAGAAAAAGGGAATTATTCAAGGTGAGAAAGGAATATAAAAACAAGAATTCAATGAAGGAAAAAAAAAACTTAAGATGTCAGAGAAAACGAACAAAATGAGGGAGACGAAGGAAGAAAGTATTATCCTGCCAGTAAGAAACAAAACATAGTTCTAAATATATGTGTTACTGATTATAGTAATAAACAGAAATCAGTTGTGCTTATATTAGTATGGACAAATTCAAGAAAGGGATAAGCACAACCTTAATAAAGTTGAAGTGTGAGCATAGCACGATTGTAACAAATTGGCGTCAAAGCGGGTCGAGGTGATCTACAACACTTCCAATATTAAGCATCATACTTCATTCAACTACATGGAATAAGTATCGGAAACCCCCTATCTGTAATCCTAGTCACTATTTTCCCGAGTAGCATCAAACAACCAACAATATTCATATCTTTACAGAAACCAATATACTGGCTAAGATATGGTGACGTTGACAATTGTTATTCTTTTATATATTATTTAGGTGGATTATTTACGATGAGTAAACTGGAATAGACGGCAACTTCCTGTTGTAAAATTGTTATGTTAAGAACGTCTTTTATAGTTGAAGCATGATTACAATTAATTATAATTGTCATAAAATAAAATAATAGACCGAAAATAATGTCGTATGACAAGTATAATTAATTGTGTTAATGAGACTTTCTGTGGTTTCACTTCTAATAAGAAACAAACATAACTTCTACAATACTTAAATAACATACATAAAGACATTAAATTTACTGTAGAAAATTAACTTGATAAATGTTACCATCACCCGATCATCCAATGGTTTGAGCAAAAATATTTATAAAAAAGACACACATAATGAAAATTATGTTAATTAATTGGCTTTCCAATCATACAATACACCAGAACTAGTCATACTAAAAGATCTAATTCATTTACCCTAAACTATTTACACCAGTGACAAGTGATAACATCAATGAAGAAATTATATACTTAACCAAATGTTTAACAAGGCCTAACAAGTTTCTCATGAGAACAGTTCACAAAATAACAAGTCTGTTTCATGTCAGAGTAAATTTTAATCTTGATTAACTTAACTCTCCAGGAAACAACAATACACCAAAACAACCTAATCAAATAACCACTGACACAATTTCATTCATTGATAATCTAACCACTTCCCTTAAAAAGTAGGGCAAAGAGTAATACACAAGTATAACATAAATATCCATATTATATTCTTTTTCATCCCGATAACAAAAATTAAACAAATGCTAAGAAAAATATATGATCAATATCCACAACCAGGAACCATATACGAAATACAAAGTAACAACTGCTGCGATTTCAGTACAGATGAAGCTGGAACTAAGTTAAACACACGAATAATAGAACACCACAAATACCCTCACACATAAATTACTTTATGCAATGCAATCACCACACATAGTCTGGCATGGCCAGCTGGTTAGGGAGGTCGATTCGCAATCTTAGGATAGTCCTTTCAGCAGTGAGGGCGTTATAATTTGACTGTCAATCCCACTATTCGTTGGTAAAAGAGTAGCCAAAGAGTTTGCGGTGGTTGGTGATGACTAGCTGCCTTCCCTCTAGTCTTACCCTGCTAAATTAAGCTTTGCGCGAAATTCATAACAAACACCACACATTTTCAAACTACAATGTCCCCGTGTTAAAATACAAACCTGATATAAACGAAAGGATATAAAATACAGGAAGCCCTTCTAGTTAAAATACATAATCCTACAATTAATAAACATTCAGGCAAATCTCTTTACCTTTTCTGACTTCTTTAAGTTAACTTATGAGATTAACTACTTATTGATACTTTTATGCAAATAACTACATCCATTGTATTAAGTTTGCTATGGCCATTTTAGCATATGATTTTTCACAAATCGTTTAAAGACGGCATGTTTTTCACTTTTTAATTTTATACATGTTTACCCGTGCCCTTTCTAAATTGCTATTAGTATTATAACGATATGCCAATTTAATTTGTCGAAAATGACCGCACTAATGATCAAATCTAAAAACACTTTCCATCTACCCACTATAGGATGTTAACAAATTTGAATAATCTTATTTTACTTAGAACAATAAGAGCATACATAGAGTTATCTGGGCTCTGTCCGCCGTGGCGAATAACTCCAGAGTTTTAGTATTTTACGTCCGTAAACTTTCTGCTGAGTCTCCGGAGGACTTATACTATATATTGCAGTGGAGATCTAACACATCTTGTATTTAAAGTGAAAATGACAATCCGAACATTTTTGCTTATTTATAATGCCACAAAGGTTGCACAAAATTATTATTTTTTCCATTATGTCTTATGTAGCATGGTGTTATTAAGACTATTGTGGATTAAAGTAATATTGTTATTTTTAACTTTGTGTTTATTAGGTCTTTAAATTACAATTTACAGTAAATGAGAAGAAATGACTGAGTTCATTTTTGAGAAATACAGTATCATATTCTACTTAAAATGCTTCTGGTATAGTTTTATATGAAAAAAAACAAAGAAGAGGGATATGTAATTGTCTCTGAGTATGTTTTTCGCATGTATTTACAGCATTTTAAATGATTTTCAGAAGTATTAAAATTATAATCAATCTGCACGAAACTAACTAATCTTTGGTATGATCATAACAAGTATGTGCTTTAAATTTATAATCCTGAAACATAAAAGTTTAATCGTTTTCTCAATAAGAAAATAAAATTTGCTAGCTGAGAATTACTATTTTAGTTATTAAGTAGGATATATATATATATATTATTTTAATAGAAATAATTTTATTCACGAAGTATCGTCCTCTAGTAGTCTTTTTCCAATACTAACAATTTTTAATTTCATCGCCATGGCCGAAGAAGAGTTAACGGTGAAAAAAATTAGTTTGGTAATTAAAACTGCAAAAGAGAAGAAGACTGTTGATATAGAAGATAATGCTAGCATTAAAAATGTGAATAATTTAGACTTACTTGTTATATATAAGATTATAAAACGTCATTTAACTCTTAAGATTAACTTTTCTGCAAGATCTAAGCGTCATTATCCATTCTAAGAAATAGGCCTATTTGAAGTTATTCTATACCACACCACATTTATTCTTGCTGGTTTAGGCTTAGTCAACATTATTCTAGGGATGTGATAGACTAAGAGTAGGAAGTTTTCGCTTTTAACATACTCTGGAAGTTTTTAGAGATTTTTAAAAATTCTAATACTACTTATATTATGTTAAATCCTTACTATAGTTACTGAACTTACTCAGTTACTGTTAGTTCTAGCGAGTTAACTGAGTAACTGTACCTACTACTCACGTAACTCACTACTAGTGAGTACTAGTACTTCTTTAGGGAGTCCCAGAGAATTATAGTTCCCGGACACGGAAGCATGCTAATAAGAAATCGTAGTTTTTACTATATAATGCTCACATAAATAAAGGATGAATAATTGTACACCAAACAAATGGAAAACATCTACATTATTAATACATGCTGAACTGGCATGATATATTAAAAGCCAACTTTACTCCCACTAGTTGAAATCAGTTTTAAAAACTATTGCTAAAACCATCGCTCACCATTTCTCAGCAACCAGCGAGTGAATGTTAAAATCGAAATCAGTGTGTTGGTTCAAATTGGCTTGACCAATAAAGGACAGTGATACATCAAACATTAGCTCTCTTCATGCTGTACTTTGTTTGGGCTGGTTTCATTGGATCAAGAAGCATTTGCAATTTGAAAACTTGCATATAAAACTTTAAAACCATTTAAAATTTTATTTACCCATTGAATCGTTTGAAACAAGGGTATACAGTAAACTTGGTGTTGTGGAAATCAGTTGATACATAGCTACGTCTGCTCAACTCGAATCGACAGTATGTCAAAAAATGATGAATTGGGATTGTAAACAGCCTATTGGTTACCCAGGCATCGTGTTGCTTTACTTCATATCATTGGTCGTAAGCAGACTGTATTGTCCTGACAAAAGTTTGCTCTACGTCATGGTATGAGCAATGGCAGTATCGTTGTATATTAAATAAGAGTGTGATTTATATATCTGCGTTCAATAATTAGAAATCACAACTCTTAACTTGGAGAGTTATGCAATCAATATCTGTATTAAATAGAAATGAAGTACCTCACAAAACTAAATACAGGCTATAACTTTAATGCATTCCATTTGTATTTGTGAGAAATGATACAAACAACTTTAGTGGAGCAAGAACAACACAGTCTTGAAAATATATTCTCACCTTTGCTTTTAGAATTAATATGATTATCATTAATATACTATCCTGAAATTGAAACATATCCATATCACTTAATGAAAGCAATATTGAATAGCAGACGAAATGTTGGAACACATTGTTACCAAAATACTCTGGCATTTCAATATATTACAGGTTGTTAATCTAACTGATTTTTACCAATAATTTGTCTATGAATAGGCCACCTTTACTTCTAACGTTCCTTAAATAATGTCTTAGTATATTTGCACTTATTACTAATTTCATTGATAATTCATAGACAAACTCTTGTTTCCTTAGCTTTTGTATAACGATTATATCTTGGGATAACTAATATCTTGAACTTGATACAATTTATTATTTACATTATGACATGACGTAGAATGGATGAGGTTTACTACTCACACGTATCTGTCAATCACAGTATTTCAAATTTTCCATCAATGTTATTACAAAATCTCTCTTTTTACTTTCATAAGTACACAGGTAAGCTCATACCTCATTTCTAACATTTAGTTATTGAAAATGTTCATTTCATTTATCCGTATAATATGTATCCACGTATATGAGTTTACCATTGATCAATTTTCTTGGGACTAAATTTTATCTTACCATGACACGGGTGTCACGTAGTATCAGGTTACCAGGTAAAGCAAAGATTACTCAATTTTGTTAACATTGTTCCAGTGGGCTGGTAGCATGGAATGGAAGGTTGATTTCCAGGTATCATTTTTTTATTTTATTTCATTAATTTTGAACTAAATAATTGAACTTGCAGTGTTAATCTTATAATTTGTGTTTGTGGAATCCAAAATAACTTTTTTGTTATTTTCATTATTTAAAAAATCCTCGAAATTCCCTACTACTAGTACTAAAGTTTGGAGATGGCTTGAAATTGAAAGTTGGATGGGTAGCAAAAGAAAATATTAGTATTACTAGGGAGTCCCAGAGAGTTTATAGTTTTTGGCTGTGGAAGTGTGAATGTGAAATCACAGTTGTAAATTTATAAATCTATAAACAAAATACTAATTATTGTACACTAAACAACGAATGAAAAATGTCAACAGTACTAATACACACTGAGTGTGCATGATTTATTTCAAGGTAACTGCACTCCCACTAGTTATAAATTGGCTTTAAAAAAATAGCTAAACCTTTCTTCTGCCATTTGTCAGCAACCAGTGAGTGAATGTTAAAACCAAAAAACAGGGTGTCGGTTCAAATTGGGTGGACCAATAAGGATCAGTGATACATCATACGATAGCTCTCTTCGTGCTCTACTTTGGTCTGGGTGGTTTCATTAAATCCAGAAACATATTCTGTTTGAAAACACAAATAAAACTTTAAAACCATTTATAATTCTTTTTAGCCATTGAATTTGTAGAAACAAAGTCATACAGTAAACTTTGTGGTGCATAAACCGATCCAAAGATATGTCTGCCCAAATTGAACTGACAGCATGTCAAAAAATGATGAATGGGGCTTGTAAACAGACTATAAATTGGCTTGGCAACAGCTTGCTTTACATCATATCATTGGACATAAACAGACATTATTTTGTCCTGACAACAGTTTGCTGTATGTCATATTGTTGGATGTGGCCAGAGTGAAAGAATATGTGCTACAATAGTCTTATGATAAAAGTGGTATGAATGTTTTATCAATTACATTGGGACATGATATAGAACAGGTGAAGGTTACTACTCGTACATATCTGTTAATCAAAGTATTTCAAGGTTACAACCAATGTGATGACAAAATCTCCTATATTTTCATAGGTACATAGGTAAGCTGTTACTTCATTTTTAACATTTTGTTGGTGTCAATTTTCATTTCATTGATCCATATAATGTGAACCCACGACTATGAGTTTTAAATTGATGTATTTTATTGGGACTACATTTTATCCTGTCTTGACATGAGCTTCACACAGTCTCAGGTTACCGGGTAAAGCGATAACTTGATATAAATCACTGACATTTTTTTAACATTGTTCCAATTAAAACGTCACATGGTATATAAGGTCGATTTACAGGTAAAATTTTTAATTGTTTTTCATTAATTATTAACTACATAATTGAACTTGTAGTGTAAAACTACTAATTTTTTACTGTGGAATCCAATGGTGTAGGATTTTTTTTAATTTTCATTATTTAAAAATCATCAAACCCCCAGTATTACTATTAGTAATAGTATTACAAATGTACAATGTTTTAACAAGTTTGTCATAATCAGTAACAAGTACTACCTATTTAAGATATCTCCAAACTGTATTTTCTAAAAAGTGGGTTACTCATCATCAAAATTAACTATACCCAAATTTTAACTGGTAAGTTTATTCAAAATCATATGCTACTCTGTTTAAAATACAGTATAAAAATTATTGAAATTCATTCAATCCCATGTTTTTACCATTCTTTAGTATGTGTAATTATTATGTATGTTTAATTCATTTTGATTTATTCCTGGACACTTTACTTTTAGTCTTACTGGTGACACAGTAACACTGTAGTTCCCCCACAGAGTTATGTGCCAACTAACTAAGACTGTATGTACTCTTAATTTTAGTTTATTTTTAAACCTATTAACCCTTAATTTAAAAGTAAATATTAAAAAAAGACAGTTAAACATCAGTTTTTGTGTGTCACTTGGTATGTTGAATGCAGCACTGTTTCATATTACATGTTTGTGAAGTCAAAATACCAAGTTTATAGTTTGGTATGAATTAGAAACTCAAATTATGGATATTGACAAGCTAGAATATAAAATAAGAGCCTCTTATCTATTCTGTTTGCTAAGATATTTCTCATGTAATAAATCAAACACAGTGGCACCCTGCTAACCTCTTTCCATATTTATAAATGCACCCTTATATACACTTACTTAGATATATATGACAAGAATAACCAATCAAAAGCTCAGAATGTTCCCCTAGCGGCTTTTTCAACCATTTTAATAGGCTTGGATGTTATTTCTTTATTTTGAACCAATATATCAAGGAGGTAGTGGTGTGTCTATAGTCTGCTCGAAATTTCATATTTTTTTTAGACTAAAATACATCTTAGTTACTAAGCTTAATAAATTATAATGGAATGCTATGGTATCAATATAGTAATTTATGATTTTGGTTATTCAACCATATATATATATATAAACCTAAACAAATTATTTTGTTTTACATCCTCCACATGCAAAGTTTTATAAGGCTTAGCAACCTACTACAGGCTGCAAATGAGTACAAAGAGAGATAACTGTTTGCTTTACTTCTTTACTTACTGATCTATGTTTTAAGAAAAATAACTAAGAACTTATTTGCAAATAGTAATAATTGTAATAATTATGTATAATAATTGAAATATGACTGTATTTTGCAAAATACCACTCCACTAAAACTCAGCCAAGATAGGTCGCTTTTTGAAGACTAAAGGTCAGTTTTATATTATTGGATAAGGTAACATGAGTGCACATGCACTGCATTATTGTAACTTCTGTATTGTTAGCCAGGCATGGCTGAAAGGTAAATACAATAAAAATAATATATGTATATAAATGTATTATGAGATTTAATCTATTTAGTCTATTTATGTTTTCGTGTTATGATTTGTAGTTATTCTAGAATGAAGAAGGCATAACTTATATTTAATTCAAAAATTTTTATGGTGGTTAAGAGATCGGTCAAGTCGTTAGTGAAAATAACTGATAAAATAGAAAGTTTTTCTTAAGAAATGGGTGATAACTATCTGGATGTTATAGAGATTTCGCATGTGAGTTTTGAAAATTTTCTGATGCATAAAAGTATTTTTAATCTTAAAATGAAAATTACTTTGAAAAAATAGCATGAGAAAACATTGCTTTACAAACCTGAAGACATAATAAAAAAATCTGCTATTTTGGGTGTTAAAGTCTTGTAATGTTTACTGATAATATGCCAAATTTCATTAACAACCGCTTACTAATTGAAAACTATATAAAGCACAGAATGGTTATAAGGTCAGTCCTAGGGACCGAACCCATGCTGAAAGAGTTAAGTCTGTTATTTGAAATTATCATAGGCTATATAATATGCTCATAAGAACAAGGACAAATATTAAAAAAAATTTATACTTAAATATTGGGAGTAACAAATATATGCTGTGGAGGCACAAATCCAGTGTTGCCTGTCTTACTTTTGGTTTTATCAAAAAATTAATCCAACAGAATTCTCGACTTCTCAATTGACTTCATGTTTCTCCAACTGAGCATGATCAAAAATTCAGGTGGTGCTAATATTG